TAAAACTAGAACAACAGTTTACAAAAGATATTCAAAGGATAAAAACTACCCCAGGGGTGGTTAAGAATCTTCAAAGATTAAATAAAGTGCATTTCTCTCCTGATAAAGGCTATACTAGGAGTGGAGGCAGTTTTTCCCACCAAGGCCCCCGCCAGCAGCCAGGTGTGGTCAATGGAAAGATTACAGATATGGCTACAGTCAGGCAGCAGACCCAGGGCCTGCCTGACTCAGGGAATCAACAGGTGCAGCAGGAACGGGAGAAACCCCCTGCCTCCTTAGCCCAGTGCAGGGACAGGCAACTTGAGCCAGCACCTGTAAGTGAATCAAGGATAAAAGAATACAAAGAGATTCCATGTAAAATCCCCCAAGTGCAAAATGACTCCAAAGGGATAACTAAAGATAGTAAAGAGCTAATCAAATTAATACCTCGTACCCATGCTATGGTACCTAACAAGGATCTGGACAAAACCTTTCCATGCTGTGTGAAACCTTGTCTATGATTGATTTAATATATAATGTTAAGGTTCCTTTGAGTGTTTTACAGATATGAAACCCATTTGAAAGATACCTGAAGAAGCAAAGGCCAACTATAGCTGTAAGATTCTTGGGAGTTTTATGGTTGGATAAGATAAAAACAGAGGCTCCCAAACTATACAACTGTTAAAATCTACAGTACCAGGAGTGGGTTGCCCCCCTATGAGGTGTTGGTCAGAGAGAGATCCTAGAGGTCCTCAAATTCACCAAGGCTATTGCTATTAATGTCAGTTGTACACTAGAAAGGTCAATAAGGCCATGTTGCTGAAGACCCTGCCTGATGTGAGCAGCAGGGGAGAAGAGATGGAACTGAGAATAAGCCAAAAAACTCCATGCCACTGGATGGATGACGTTTATAGTGCCAGAATGTGCTATGCAGATGGTTGGAGAAGAAAGGATCCCCTATGATTCTACTCAACAATGAGTAGACCCCACGTGCTGCACACTATGGATATGCCAAGCAATGCCTGCAAGTGCAATAATGGCTCGACCAACATACGTACAACTGACAAAATTCTAATTGGATAAGGCCCACTCCTACGGGTGGAACACACATCTGGTGCTGTAGACCAGGCCAAACCCATGTCAAGAAATGTTACAGACCCTAGTTGGGAAGCCTTTACAAGTATACTGTTTAATAAATATAGTACACCTACTGGGATATCATCTAGGCATTTGTATTTACATTTGTGTTTGTTTAGACGTGCCTACTTCCTTCTATTTGTCTTTATAGTAGAAAAAACACCACTGAGCTAGATCAATGGCCACATCTTGAAGATGGATAATGGGGAGGCCCCAGAAATCACTATCTCGCCATGATACAGGAGAGATCACCCTACATGTGTCACCCCCACCAAGGCTCAGGGACCTTGGAAAATTGGCAGAAAGATTGTAAGAGCAGAGGAAAGGGGTAGAGTGTGTCTAATAGTGCCAGGGGCAAGGGACTCTAGAAAACTCGGACAACACTCACCTAGCTGATATTCCCTCCAGTGCATTGGAAAAATGTCTGGAGGAATTAATATCTGTTCTGTTACTGTAAATAATTTCTTGAAACTGTTACCATGTTGAAACAGTGTATTTGAGGTAACCTAAATTGTGTCTGGGGGTCATAGTCACTCTTATTTGGCTCCATGAAAAAATTATCTGTTATCTCCTTTGAGACAAGAGATATGGTTTTTACATCGATAGTACTCAGACCAGGAATAGGGTAGACAAGGGAAGTACAAGGCTAGACTTCATCTTCTTTTATTTATGTTTATTTTTATTTATGTGTATGTGTACGTAACTCTGTGTATGCCACATGTGTGCAGGTGCTAATGGAGGCTAGAGAGAGTACCGAATCCTCTAGAGCTGGAATTACAGGCAGTTGTGAGCTGCCCTACATGGGTACTGGGAACCCAACCTAGGTCCTCTGGAAGAGCAGCAAGCGCTCTTAACTGCTGAGTCATCTCAAGCTCCATTAATTGGCCCTTTGTCTTACAATTTTGTTCATTATGATTTTTTTATGGATTGGAAGAATTAATATTGTGAAAATGACCATCCTACCAAAAGCAATATATAGATTCAATGCAATCCCAATCAAAATCCCCATGATATACTTCACAGAATTAGAAAAAAAATCTTTAAATTTATATGGAAGCACAAAAGACCCCAGACAGCCAAAGCAACCCTGAGCACAAAGAGCAAAACTGAGGGAATTACTATACCAGATCTCAAAGTATACTACAGAGCTATAGTCATAAAAACAGCATGGTACTGGCACAAAAATAGACACATAGACCAATGAAACATCATTGAAGAGGAACCCTACAGGGGTGGGAAAAAGCTCTTCCAGAAGCCATATAGTTGTTAAATGAAAATCCCTTACCAGAGGTGGGCTGCCCCCCTATGAGCTGTTGACCAGAGGGGCCCTAGAGGTCCCCCAAACAATAAAGGCCATTGCCAATAATGTTGGTTGTACACCAGAAGTGGACGGCAAAACCCTATTGCTAAAGACACTGCATGATATGAGCTCAGGAGAGGTAGAAATCAAGCTTGGATTAAGCTGGAAACTCCCTGCCACTGGATGGGTGGCTTTCATAGTGCCAGAAGGTGATATGCAGATAGTTGGGGGAGAATTGTTCCCATAACTCTGCTCAATGATGGACCCTGCATGCTGTACTATCAACATGCCAAACAAGATGTTCCTGCTGGTGCAATAGTGGTGTGTGTAGTGTATACACAACCAGCAAATTTTCAATTGGATATCGTGCCTGCTCCTAGGGGTGGAACACACAACTGGCATTGTAGACCACGCCAATCCCCTGTGGCAGGGAAGAACATAGGCCCGAGTGGAAAGCCACTGCAATTGTTTTGTTAGATGGATGTGATGCATCTGCTAAAGTACCATCCAAGCATTTGTGTTTACACCCATAGGTTAAGTTATTATAACAGTCACTGTTTAAATGTTCTTGCTTATTCCTGTTTGTGTTTTATGGTAGATGGAATGCCACTGAAACGGGCCAATAGCCCATGGAAAACAAATGATGCAGAGATCTGAAAGTTCAGGGCCTTGCCACAATGGAAGGAAGATCATCCCACACCTGTCACCTCCCCAACCCCCACCAAGGCTCAGGGACTTTTGTGGAAGAGGTTGGCAGAAAGAATGTAAGAGCTGGAGGACAGGATGGAGTGTTACCTGAAGTGTCCTCCGACCACTATGCTGGCAAGCTATAGTCACACCTCCTTCCCACCCTCATCAAGGGGTTGAGGGGGTAGTCAGTTACTCCTCCCACCCTATCAGTCAACCTTAGCTGCATGTGGAGGAAGGCTATGGATATACAAGGGACCTCTCTTGCCATTTTGTGCGGCTGTCAGGAAGTCACAGGATCTATATTTGAGTGTGGACTTTCCAGTGCAGCCATAAATGGGTGTGTGTGTGTGTGCCCACTCTTCTGTAAATAAACCTCCACCCTATGCTCTGTCAGCAAGCCCAATAAACTAGTAAATGATAGGTGTTTGAATAGATAGATGAGAGGGATCTGACTAGACTGCAAATGGATGAACTTGCACTGGGGAGTGTCTGAGGTAAAGTTGACCCCATGTTGGCAAATCCTTTGGTCTTTGATTTCTTATTCCTATTTTCCCCCCTTAAATGTCATTGTATATATATTTTTATGTAACCTGCTTCAAGTTATTTCTGAAAAAAATGTGTTAAAAACTACCTCTCTTTGGAATAATAAAAGTATTCTAAAATTAAAAAGTTGATATTTTGTTCATCATGATTTTTTATTTTTTTATTTCAATTTTTTGTCTTTTTGAGACAGGGTCTCTAGCCCCAGCTGGCCTAGAACTTGCTATGCAGACCAGGCTAGCGTTGAACTCACAAAGATCCGCCTGCCTCTGCCTCCCAAGTGCTGGGATTAAAGGCATGCACCACCATGCCCAGGTCATTATGTTTTATTTTTAAATTTTGTTTTTTTTTAAAAACATTTAAGTATTACTGATTATTCATCAAATATTAAAAATAGCAGATGACATAGCAATTCTACTCATAGGTACATAACCAGGAAAACTAAAAGATATTCACAACAGATACTTGCACACGAATATTCATAATAACATTTCACAATAGCCCAAAGGTGGAAATTATCAAAATACCCATCAACAAATAAATAAACTGTGATAACTATATATAGCAGAATTTTATTCAGCAATAAAAAGGAATGAAATGTTAATGCACACTGTAATTTACGTAAGCCTTGACAAGATTAAGGTCAATGAAAGAAGCTACACAGAAATGCCACCCATTATATGATATCGCTTATATGAAATACTGGACTAGGAAAATCTATACAAATAGAAAAGGGATTGGGGATGCCAGGGGATAAAGAGAGGAATGAAGATGACTGCTAATGGGTACAGGGATTTACTTTGAAATGACTACATAAAACCGGTGGTTGCCTGGTATCAGTGAATGCCATTGTAATGGTCACTTTAAAATAGTTAATTCTATGCTATAAAAAGTTGCTGATCTTGAGCCAAGCATAGTGGCTTATACCTGTAACCCCAACACTTGGGAGCTTGAGGCAAGAGGATCATGGTGAGTTTGAGACTACTCTGGGCTACAAATGAGTTTCAGTTCATCTTTGGCTATAGTTTGAGACCCTGTCTCAAAAGAAAAAGAAAACGACAGTGGGTCACATACTCACAGAACAAAAATCAAAACAACAACAACAACAAAAAGAACACCAAAAAATAATGACATGAAAATAAGAGAGCAACTTGGATTCAGTGGGAGTGGGGAGAGGAGGACAATACAAGGTAAAAGCAACCAAAATACATTATATACATGGATGAAATTGTCGAAAGAATAATAAAAAATTAATTTAAAAACAGAAAAAGATTACTAATCTATTTAACATTTATTTACTCTGTGTGTACATAGGCATACACGTGGAGGTCAAAGAACAACTTGCTGGAGTTGGTACCCTCTTTCACCATGTGGGTTCCAGGGATGGAACTCAGGTGTCAGGCTTGGCAGAAGTGCCTTCACCCACTGAGCCATCTTGCTGGCCCTACTTATCTTAATTCCTGAGTGTTTGGAACCCTATAAATTTTATATTTGAGAAAATAGCCTAATTTGTCACTTCAAGTTTTAGACTTGCTAAATTTAAATTCACTTTTAAGTGAAGATAAACAGGATGATACTGAAATAATCTTGGCCCTTACACTAACCTATAACTGAAATCCAGGTAGGAGAATGATTCATTTTTGACTCAAAATTGGTTACAGTTCATGCCTGCCGCCTTCCCCACACAATACGGAAAAAGCGAGGTTCCTAGGCCCCTGCTTATCACCACTTTACTATGTTCTAGACAAAAAGACATTCTTCCCAGGACTGTTGTTGGGCAAAGTTTACTCAGCTACAGAAGTTTGTGAATACTAAAGGCTGCCTCTGGAGGGAAAAGAAAAGGATCCCTTTGGTTCTGTTTCAGGAAGTAAACATTATCAGATTCCCTCAAGTCTTCAACAGCCCATAACTGGGGAAGAGAGTGTGGAGATTTCTTCAGGTAACTCCTTCATCTTGACTATAATTAATTCAGATGCTTTAAAAAAAAAAAAAAAGTATTAGTAACCTCAGAAAGTGAATAACACACATCTTTAAAAGCCTCCCAGTTAACCTTTATAGGATTTTTGTTTTTCCTGAAGGTCACCATGTATAGGGTGCCCCCAATTATAAACACACATAGTAGTCACAAATATAAAAATATACAGAGCAGCTCACAATAGAGTAATAAACTCTTTTTTAATTTATTATTTTTATTTTATGTGTATGAGTGTTATGCCTGCATGTAACTAAGTGCACCTGTGTCGTGCAATGCCCGAGGAGGACAGAAGAGGCTGTAGGATCCCTTAGAACTGGAGTTACGGACAGGTGTTAGCTGCCATGTGGGTGCTGGGATTCGAACCCAGGTCTTCTACAAGAACAGTCAGTGTTCTTAACCGCTGAGCCATCTCTCCAGCCCCAGAGCAATAAACTCTTTGAGAGTGTTTTGTTTTTGTCTATTTTCAGACAGGATCTCACTATGTAGTCTTGGCTGGACTGGAACTCACTACGCAGACAAGGCCTGCCTTGAACTCACAGGGATCCACTTGCCTCTGCTGGAATTAAAGACATGTGCAACCACACCCGCCTGGCTTTATTTATTTATTTATTTATTTATTTATTTATTTATTTACTTACTTACTTACTTACTTATTTAAGTTTTATGTGTACGAGTGCCTTGCCTGCAAGGCACGTGAGTGCATCCATGGATGTAATGCCCACAGAGGTTAGAAGAGGGTTTCAGATTCCCTCCAGAACTGGAATTACAGAGTGTTATTAGGAGCTATGTGGATTTGGGAACCAAACCCGGGTCCTCTGCAAGAGCAGCCAGTGCTCTTAACCACGGAGCCATTTCTCCAGGCCCTGTCTGTCTTTCAATCTTGGCGACTGAACTTCAGGCATGCCAGCAAAGTGCTCTGCTACTCAGCAACTGTTCCAGCCCAGAGCACTGAATTCTGATTTTTTCAAAAGCTGCTGTTCCAACTAAACAGTAGCGTATCCAGCTGTGGCCTGCCATAACTTCTAGAGAAATCCCAAGTGACAGCTGCCTCTGGGTATAAGCTTAATAATGCTATCCATGATGCTGTCCCCCATCTCTCAGAATCCAAAATATATACAGAGACAATAAGCTGCCCTTGAACACCAATCCCATCTCTAGCCTCTTTGCAAAATACACGACACTGTTTTATTTTTACAAAACCCAAAGAATCTGCTCTGCTTTGAGTGACCTATACCACAGTTGGCAAGATTGGGGGGGGGTATTGTCTTTTTAATTTTTTTTAACTAATATGTGCACATATGTATATAGGCACAAGCATGCCATGGCACGTCTGTGAAGGTCAGGACAAATTCCAGGACTCACTTCTTGCCTTCCAACATGGGATCCAGGGATAGAATTCAGGTCTTCAGGATTGCACAGCAAGCACTTTTACCTGCTGAACCATCTAGCTGGCCCAAGAACATCTCTTTTAAAAAAATTTTTTTTTTAATTTTATGTGTGTGAGTGTATCGCCTGCATGTATGTGAGTGCAGCAGTGTCATGCAATGCCACAGAGGTCAGAAGAGGACTTCAAATACCCCTGGAACTGGAATTAAGGACGGTTCGTAGCCACCATGTGGGTGCTGGGAATCGAACCTGGGTCCTCTGCAAGAGCAGTCAGTGCTCTTAACCACTGAGCCATCTCTCCAGCCCTTAAATTTTTTTTTTAGTTAGCATACAAATCAATGGGTTTCATTGTGACATATGGCATTTTCATACATGGATAGTTGCACTTTGCCCAGTAAGTAGGTCTTTAGGTTTGTTTTTGTTGTTTTTAAGGAAGTCTAATATAGCCCAGGATGGCCTTGAACTCAATATGTACTTGAGGATGACTCTGAATTCCTGATCTTCCAACCTCTACCTCCTGAGTGCTGGGATTACAAACATGTCCATGCATGGTTAGCAAGTAGTTTTTGTAAATAAAGTTTTATTAACACACCACCATGTGCACTGATTTCCATATTGCCTATGGCTGACCTCCCAGTACAGTGACAGAATAGTTGTGACAGAGACTCTAAGGCCCACAAGCATAAATTGTTATCTGGCCTTACAAAAGTTTGTCAACTTCCAACATAGACTATTACAACTCTATAGCCTTTAGGAATCCATTTAGATGTCCTGATATGCTCATACCTGGCCTCAGATATACCCCATATCGCCCAGATATTATCTCTTGATAGCATCAGGGTCTCTTAAGTCTGTGCTGCTAACTATACCAGTCAAACAGCATCCTACGGGAGAAAGACTCTGAAAACCAAGTCCCATACTGTTCCCATCCCTACCACGAGGCCGGCTTGTCTAGACAAACAAACAATCCTCAAAGATCCCTTCTTACCTTTCAGGTGGCCCCCGTTATTCCTGAGGCGTGGAGTTGCTTCAGCTGATATCCAACTCAGACAGCTTTGCCTCTGAAAAGCTGTCATCACTGGCATCACTGTATCCATCACTACATTAACAGAGAAAGTCACTCGACAAGGTACTAAAACATAGCTTGGACAATTATTCAGTGTTTAGCTCCACACATGTTCCATAATTAAGTTTCATGCAGAGGAAATACGATGGAATATTTTAATGACACTATATAGTTCTAGAAGGGTACTCTAGCCATATGCAACAGCCCCCTTCTTTTCTCAGAGAAAACTGAGTACTTGCCTTCATCAGAAATTACAAGTTAGTTATTCAGAACATTTAGAAAAGTATTTCAGTGTCTGTTGAAATTTCTAATCTGAAGACTGCAGATTGGTTGCCAATTCAACACAGCCTTGCTTGTTCTCCTGCCTGCCCCTGTACATATGGCTTGCTTTCCAGGAGCTCTGTGAACACACTGATTTTAAATGAAAATCTGAAGCTGGGAGTGGTAGTTCACATCTGTCATCCCAGCACTTCTGAGGCTGAGGCAGGAGGATTGCTGAGAGTTCAAGATCAGCCTGAACTCATTTGAGAACCTATTTTAAAAAAAAAAAGTTCTATTGTTCTGGGAAAATGGATGTGACTGCAGGTGAGCTAAAGGAAGCCCGCCTCAGAAAGACAAATCTCATGGTTCCTCTCATTTGTACTTCCTAGACTTCTATAAATACATAAAATCATGTGTGTATATATGACACAAAAATAGAAAATTGTCTAGGGAACAAAGGGTCTAAAGGGAGGGAGGAGAAAAGGGAGGGGGAGAGGCAAAAGGTGAAATATGTTCAGCACATGAAAGACACTTGTACAAAAACTAACAATTTTAAATTATAATTAATTTTTTTAACAAAGAAAGAGAGCCAACAGAATAGCTCAGTCCGTTAAAGCACTTGCTGTGGAGCCTGGTGACCTTAAATTCAATCCCTGGGACTCACATAGGGAGGAGAACTGACTCTGCCAAATTGTCTTCTGACCAGTCACATACACACACACACACACACACACACACACACACACAAATAAATAAATAAATAAATAAATGTAATAAAAAAAATTTTAAATGTAGGACATGGTGGGGGAAGTGACATCACCAAGAACAAGCCTTGAAGGATATTGGGACCTCAGCCCCGCCTCTTTCAGACTCCTAGCCACTGTGATGTGAACAGTTTTGCTTCACCATGTGCTCCTCCCACCATGATGTTCTGCCTTACCACAGGCCCAAAAGCAACAAACCCAGCTGACCATAACTAAACTCCTTAACACAAAACAAAACAAAATGAAACAAAACAAAACAAAAAAAGGAAAAGGAAAGCATGGTTGATGAATCTCTTTATTTTGGGTGAATCTACTCTTGTCGGGAGGACCCAAATCTCAGTCTCTCTGAGGATAAGCATCACTTTGTCCTATTCCTACTGATGTCAATTTGTTTTCAGGTGCATAAAGCATTAGTTTGATACTTGAGTTTTTCATTTTTTTTATCAGTAGGAACATTTTTATGAGAGCAATTTCAGAAAATAAACAGACACATATATCTTCAAATACAGAACTCTAGATCGTTACATTCAGGACACCCAACATTACCCATTTGGTTCCTATAAATATGTTTCCTTAGTTCATTCTAGAGATCACAGTTTACAATATTTTATTTATTATTTGTATGTTATATGTATGAGTATATTGCTTGCATGTGTGTAAGTGCACCTACGTCATGCAATGCCCGCAGAGGTCAGAAGGCATTGGATTGCCCCAGAAATGGAATTAGGGACAGTTGTTAGCAGCCATATGGGTGCTGGGAATTGAACCTGGGTCCTCTGCAAGAGCAGCCAGTGCTCTTAACTGCTAAGCCATCACTCCAGCCCCCAAGTTTTTTCCTTTTTTACCCCTCTGATCACAACCATTCCCTTTGGCAATGAGAGGGTTCAGGACACACTATTCCAAAATATGGTATCTTGGCACAGTGAACATTTTAAGCTGAAGAAATCTGAGCTAGTATATGCAGGAAGGTCATAAAACCAGGGACAGAAGTCTTGACCTATGCCTGAAGCAGGCCATGAGACCCTAGGTTGGAGGTGCCTCCCTACAAGGGGAGGAAAGAAGCATTCTTCTCTCTGAAGACACAGTAGCATCTGAAAAAAACAGCCTTGCTAAGTTCTCCCAGTCCATTACCATGACCTCACACCCTCTTTGTCCACTTTTATTTCTTCATGTCTCTCCATCAGATCTGCTATACAAAACAGATGCTGTGGCATGCCTACACACACACACACGTAACATACACAAAAATAATAATTTTTTTGTTTTTAAGAAAACACTAGGATTTTTCTGTTTAGGTCTCTAAATACTTATAAAGACCCCTGTGTCAAATAAAACCTATATTATTAAGTAAATGTATATGGGGCTTGTTTTGCTTTGGGGAAGGTCATGCTGGGGATGGAATCCAAGGCCTTGTATATTATGGTAGGCAAGTATTCTACCACTGAAATATATTCCCAATTCTCTTATTTATTTTGTTGTTTTTGTTTTCTTTTTTTGAAATAAGATCTCATATAGGCCAGGTTGACCTTGAATTCTCAATCCTTCTGGCCCCACTTCCCAGGTTCTGGGATTATGAGTCACCACTATGGTCTTCTTAGCCCTCTTTTTATTATTATTTTTTTTAGAAAGGGTCTCACTAAATTGTCCAGACTGGCCTTGAACTTGCCTTTCTCCTGTCTCATCCTTCCAAGTCTCTGATGATATGCCACTAGCCCTGGCTATATGCATGCATTTCTATTGTTAATCTGTCTTTTGTTATGAAGGCTTCAGTCAGAGGTCTGAACTCAGTAAAGGAAAAAATGTTTTCCTCCCCACCAACAGCATTTAAGAACTAGAAAAGAGTAAACACAGCTGCACCATACCCCCATCCTTTAGTCAAATGTTTTCCTTGTTGCTGAGCACATGCTGAGTTTTGTCTCTGTGTTTAAGGACCATAATGCCTGCCTAGATACAGGTACAGCACTCAGATTACAGCAGCTCAGCATTGTGGAGGATCTGGTCATCTTCTGTCAGCACACTCCACAGGGCTTGAACTTGGTGCTCATTAGGAGGAAAACACGCATATTGGCTCAAGACCCAGGAAACACCCAGCAATGCACAGACAAATATTAATGTAACTAAGTTGGCCTCGAAATCCTATCCACTTCAAATCAGAATGTTACTATGATTTATAAGTCAGAAGCATGTATGAACATTTTCCCCTCAAACTTTTTTTTTTTTTTTTTTTTTTTGTCTTTTTGAGAGACAGTGTCTCTGTAGCCCCAGCTGGCCTGGAACTCGCTTTGTAGACCAGGTTGTACTTGAACTCACAAGGATCCACCTGCCTCTGCCTCCCAAGTGCTGGGATTAAAGGTGTGCACCACCATGCCCAGCTTCAACATTCTTACAGGTTTGGACATTTGAAGAATAATCTTCATAACACACCAATTTAAAATGAAAACTATGGGTTGGAGATATGTCTCAGTGGCTAAGAGCACTTGCTGCTGTTCTTCCAGAGGACCAGAGTTCGGTTCCTACCACCCACATGGCAGCTAACAACCTTCCCTAACTCCAGTTCCAAGGATCAGATGCCCTCTTCTGGCCTCCATGGGCATTGCACACACATAGCACACATATACATGCAGGCAAAACACTCATACACATAAAATTAAATAATTAGAGTTGGCAAGATAGCTCAGCACTTAAGAACACTTGCTGTTCTTCTAGAGGACCTGGGTTCGATTCCCAGCACTCACATGGCAGTCAACCATTGTTTTTCCAGTTCCAGGGAATCCGACACTATCACACCATCTCCTGGCTTCTGTGGGCATTGCATGGCATGGGTGCACTTACATACATGCACACACTTTTGTCACCATACTGGGTTCCTTTAGAAAGACACCTTTTCTATGAGTTAGCTCTGCAACTGAAGTTTTGCTTTGAGCCCTTAGCTATGGATTTCCTCTTGCTCAGTTTCACATAAATCCAGCATGTCCAGACTCCACTACAGTTCAACTGATCTATGGCAATGACATTACCAGGAACTGTTCCATGCCTGACCCATCCCTGACCTTGATCAAGCATTTGCTGACTGGTAGCAATAAAAGTCTGAATTCTGTAACAGGTAGAAATTTTACTTTTGTTCTGGTTTTGTCATTGTTATTGTGTTTGGGGGATTTTTTGTTGTTGTTGTATTTTGGTTTTGTAAGACTGGATCTCCCTGTAGCCCCAGCTGGCTTGAACTCAAAGAGATCCACCAGACTTTACTTCCTGTATACTGGGATTAAAGACATATGCCATCATCCACAGCTACTTTTGTTCTTTTAAAGCAAGAAGGAGGAACCCACTGGAGAAGGTCTATGCTAACAGGCTAGAAAACAAAGATTCTACTATATAAATCCTGATTATCAAAAAACAGACATACCAAATCATAAGTGTCAATTGGGGGCTAAAGAGAAGGCTCAGTGGTTAAGAGCACTGGCTGCTCTTGCAGAGGACTGGGTTTGGTTCCCAGGATACACATGGCGACTAACAATTGTCTGCAACTGCAGTTCCAGGGGATCCAACGCCTTCTTCTGGCCTCTGTGGGCACTGCATGCACAGATGCACTTACATGTAGGCAAGCATAACACTCATACACATAAAAATAAAAACTTTTTGTTTTGTTTTGTCTTTTTTTGAGACAGGGTCTCCCTGCAGCCCCAACTGTCCTGAATCTCACTAGGTAGACCAGGCTGACCTCAAACTCACAGAGATTCACCCACCACTGCCTCCCAAGTTCTGGGATTAAAGGTGTGCACTATCACACCCAGATTAAAAACAGTTTTAATAAAACAACACATCTTTAGTGTTACTAAAGCCAAATATATCTCCTAGTTAGACTTTTTAGTTAGGGAAAATCACTTCTACTGCTACATAATGAATAAAGCTGTATGTGTGTGTGAGTGTGTATGTGTGTATGTGTGTGTGTGTGTGTGTGCGCGTGTGTGTGTGTGTGTGTGTGTGTGTGTGTGTGTGTGTGTGTATGAT